TTTACAATAAGTCGTTATATGGCTTTGTGGAGTGATATATCAAAATCGACTGCATATATCAAACTCAATATATGGATATTTTTATTGAACCTTACACGTCTAATCTCAAGGTTGCCAACCTTATGATAGGACTTTTTTTAATGGTTTATTTTGGAACATTACAATTTTTTTTAAGTAATTTCTTTGAGACATCTTGATCTCTTTTGATGAATGTTTACATCTTAAATCAATCTTAAATTTCACGACAATTTTAATTAGTAAGTGAACATTATTTACGACATAATTATTCGAAATGAAAATTGACAAATCGACATGGTCACAAACAAATTTAAGTAAACTATTAAAATTATTACTTTTGTTTATTTTAAAACAATTACCACTTATTTTTATTATTTTCAAAAGTACGATTTTACGAAAACACTCATACACCAGAACAAAATAAAAAAAAACCATGAAAACTTACCGATGGAAAGGCAATCCGGGCGTTTTATTATATGTAGCATTTTCACAACGATAAGCACTGCTCGTTACCATTGTTTTTTTAATGATATCAAATGTAAAGAAGTAATATTTCGTCTTAAAACCGAATTAAACACTAATTTCGACTATGGGACTGACATCGCGACTTAAAATTGACACAGGTTGACGTATGTCTGGGAGTGAATGTTGCAACAGGTGGCAGTAAGAAATGACACTAGAATTTTATGTAAGTTGAAAAGAGTAATCTGTAATGATTTCCATAACATCTATTATTCTTGTCGTGTTCAATGCCAATTAGAGACAAATTTGCTAGTCTACTTTGTGCTATGGTTGATCGGAGGTAATTTTTTATTAACTTTAATTTTGAAAAATGTTCGCTTTTTGCAACCGTTACAGGTAACGTAATATCAACACGAAGAGCAGTTGATAAATTGGGAAATATGGATAAAAATTTATTTAAAAATAAATAGTTTCAAATATCCAACGGCGTAGTTAAATTGTCAACAAACATTGGTAGCAATTCTATTTCATGATAGAGCTTAAATTAATATATCGGAAGAGTCGAAGAGATTAGTAAGTTTGTTTCCTAAATTTAAACAATAAACTTTGTTAATATTTGTTTCTAAGTTATGTCATCATCGTTATAATTATGTATCATAACCATCAATGTGTATAGGAAAATACATTTAACTACCGTTACCTATATACTTAATAATGAACTTTCCCAAGAAAACATTTTAGACTATTTGTTCAAGAAATTTTGTTAACCTTAAAATTACTATTTTTTACAAGGAAAGTAGCCAAGTGTGTCTCATTTCCTTAAAGACTTGGCAGAGGACAAACGAAACTTAGAAAATGCACAAAAGATATTGGAAGAGTCTCAGATACTTCATCAAAACCGCTTTTGTAGTTAACTGAGGAGAAGTTATCCCATGAAAAAAGGAAAAATTAAATGGAAATAGAATTTCTACAGCAAAAATATAAATTGGAGTTGGAGTTGTTAAAAAATAATATTGATAAAAATTTGCAATTGTTTGTTTCTTTTTATTCAGGATTTTATAATCTTTCAAAATTATTAATAATTAATAAATTTCGCTCTGTATTGCTAGTTACACTTCTGGGTATAGAAATGGTATTTATAAAATCAGAATTATGAGGCACTTCTTCGTCCTCAGATATGTATTTCTTTTTGTAAAATTGCAATGTTTTACTAAACTGCAGTGGCAATAATTATTCCTGTGAACAATACATGACATAACTATTTTGTAAAATAATTTAACAATTACAAGATAAGACATGCAATTACCTGGCACTCTTTGTAATTTAACATTAATTCCCTTTGAAAGAATAGGGAATCTTTTCTTCCAAATTTTAAATGCTCGCTCTATTGCATTTCTCGTTCTAATTGGTCATTCTTGGTATAGTTTCTCACCTCTAGTAATGGGAGCATTTTCAGGGAGAGGCGTCATCGTGTATCTGATCTGAGCATAGCCACTGTCGCCAACTAACAATTTATCATTATAAACTCCCTGCAAAAATACAGTTGAATTAGGCTACCTTTCATGTAAATACAATTCTACCACTATATAAATGAGGGTTTCCTTTAGGTACTTATTTATTTAATAATATACTAGTACAAAGTTTCTTTTCTGGGCACATTTGTCCCAAATGTTAGCATCATGTTCTGACCCATGCCAACGAGCCACTAAATCTTGGAAAAGTGGATCAGCTGAGCATATGCACTGAGTGTTAATCGAAAAATACCCTTTTCGCTTTCTGTAGATTTCTGCATGATAACCACCTGTCGTTAAAAAAAAACTGTATAAGATATAAAACTAAAAACTAGTTATAAATAATTATCATTATGATGTTAAACGAAACTATGTTAGGTATAGGACTAAAAATAAGTTACTTATAATCATTGGAACAAATAAGTAGGTTAAAGTAATTTTGAAACTTATGTTTATTAAGTCGAGTTTATTTTAAATGAAATCGAGATTTAATCTTTCGCTGCAAGTGGGCCTTAGTCGATGGTTCGACATTGTTGTCCTATATTTATTTTCTATATAAGACATCCTGGAGAAAGAACGCTCCAAGGCAAAGTTTGAAAAAATCTTTAATATGGTATAGCAATTTAGGAAAACATCAAAAAGTTTATTTTCATATATTATCATAAAAATTTCATTGCAATAGGTGTAAGACCATTATTGCGATTCTAAAAAAAATGTTGCCGTATCTAAGAATTAAAATTGCAGTATTTATGAAAAAAATATACGATTTTGCCGTAAACAATTTATTTGCATCAATAGTTATCTGCAATATCTTCACCATATAAGTTATTAATTGACTCGAAAACCTCACTCTCTTTTCTATGCAATGAATATTTTTCTTTATTTTTCATTTTCAAACACATCATTTGACGCTTGAATATTTATACAATCTCAATTGATTTTAACTGCTTGTCTTGTTGAAAGAGCTCTGATGGCAGTGGATGTTATCAATTTATTTCAAAATTTTTTTTCTCATTGTTCACTTCACTAAATACTCGCTCGCAATCTGCGTCACTATGAGGTAGACATAATATTTCTAGAACAAAATTTGCTACTTTGCAATCTGTATTGTCATGGACATTTGCCCAAAGTTCATGTACTTTCCATGTGCCTATTTGTAATTCAGTAAATTTATTTACATTTGGTAGCAACCTCCATTCGTTATCAATTCGTTGCAAATCCAATTCACGTACTATTCGTGGCAATTGCTTGGTGAGTGGCAACAACGACGGAAAGTTTCAAAGGGATTGCGAAAGTGAAAAATAATTCATTATCAATATTTATGTCTTTACGTGTTGCTTTTAATATTCAATCAGCGTACTGATGGAAAAGCGTTTTGTTTACAATTTGCCATTGTGGAAAAGTCTTTCATGCAGAAAAAAACCTGTATAACTGTATGTTACAGCAATTGCCGTATCAATAGCAAAACTGAATCGAACAGAAGTTTGGTTAAACCCTGACCGGTTATATCGGTGATAGGAGGAAGGCGCTTATTACACCACCCAATCTATCGGGCCCGATCCATCGGGTACACTGTAAATTGGGTAGTCTAATCGCAGTTAGAGAGTTAGGGTCCCGATATCGGGTGAACGTGGGCGCCCGATCGCCCGATGAGAGTTAGGGCCGATTTATTGGGTAATGTGATCGCTGTTAGGGTGTTAGAGCGCTCAGTCGGTTGTTGCGCAGCGTGCGTGTGAGACGTCAGTGAACGACAACGAAATTTGCTAACAGACAAAAATGTCTTCTCAAAAGGAAAAGAAATAATATTAAGTGTAATTTAATATTATTACTTTTTCTATATCAATATGATATAATGTTTTAAACATTTCTATATAGCCTTTGCATGTGTCTGGTACAATTATTAATTTTATATAAATTACAATAATAAAAACTAATGCTATAATAAACTTTATATTATTGTTGTGCCCGATAGGGTCCATAGTGAGACTAACTTAATTATGTAATATTATTTTAAATTACCTATGGAAACAATAAACTTATTGAGTATTTATACTTTAAGTCATGAATTCATGATATGCATTTCCCGTTGCTAAAAATTTTAAGGTTACAGCACAGCTAACCGCTGTTTTGCGCTATATAAGGTATGACTAAGTTTAATATATGATCAAATTTTGCAGAACTCATTCTGTAGTAGTTCAAACTGCATAGTTGGTCATTAAGAAGCAAATATTTTTCACCCAACATTTTGTTTTACTACTTACGCCCGCAGTTAAAGTATGGGCTATGCCAATTTTTTGGTACTTTGTGAGCGAAGGAGCCATCCTTTCAACGCCACGTTTGCATGCCAACTGAGTTAGGGAGGCGATCTAGTGCAGTGTAATCACAACGACACCAACCGCCCTAAATCGCGGCCGATATATCGTGCCCGATAGATTGGGTAGTCTAATAGGCGCCTAAAACCTAGAAGACGTTCTTTTACTTCAACCATCTACTTTTCAATATTAAAAGTACGAATCTAACAACTGCCGATATCTGTTCTATGTGCGTAATGTCCGGAGTGCAATCTGAAAAGATTGAAAAATATTTTTATTGTTTCAAATACAAATAATGTACCGAAAATTTTCAATTATTTTCGTATGTCGATAAGTAGTTTTGATGAATTACTATCAGGTTGGAGAATAGAATAAAACATCAAGACATTTATCGTGCTCCTATACCTCCGATTTTAAGGCTAGCGCTTTCTTTGAGGTAATTACATATCGTTCGATTGTTAAATAATTTTTTAAGTATTTATTTTAAAGAAAAAAAGAGAACTTTTACTTGGCCGGAAACAATACAGTAAGTAAACCCCTATCTTTAACGTAACACCACAGAAAAAATCGAATAACTCGAATTGAATTATGAAACTGACTAGATTAATTCACAGATGTCATATTTTCTTATGACAGGTTAGTTATGTGTTATTTGAGTAGTATGTTATGTATACAATCTGTCTGGTTAACGGTGTCGGAGCCGTTAGGGGGTTGAAATGCGGTATGTTTTATCGATAAATCAAGCCCTATAAGTAGTTTTTCTTCTACCATAATAAAATGGAGGCCATTTTGGTTTTCGTTTTAACTGAAACATCGATGTTGTACTAATTTAGCTATAGCTACCCATGTAGCGGTCCTAGAAACACAAAATAAGTCTCATTCGATAGAGAAACATGTAGACAGTAAACTAATACTAAATATTATCCTAACTTTATTTTATAAAATAGAGAAAAAAATTATTAAACGATAATAATTATGTATTTTTTTGCGTTTTTTTTAACAATATAAGCTTTTTCATAGAATTCAAGCCGTTGACCTACTTTTTTTTTTATTTCTAAATGGTAGAGAAATATGTTCCCTAAATAAAATTGCTTACATCTCAGCCCTAAATAAAGTAGTTTAGAAGTTATGACGGTTTGAATATAACCTCATATTGTCTAATCCAGTAGAAGAGAAAAAAATAAAACAAAATACTTAGTTATCACGGTATTTATTTTCACAAAAAAACAAAACATGTATTACAGCCATTGCTCAAAACGTCCTCCATCATGTTGCAGACATACTGTTGCTCTTACAGATACATGTTGCGTAGAGCGCCTTATCATTGCTTTGTCGTTTTTCAGTTCATTTCCGACTTGAATTATTTTTCTAATAAGGTCCTCGCGTGTATTTGGCACGTCAACATAAACTTTTTGCTTCATTGTACCCCACAAGAAAAAATCTAGTGGGGTCAAGTCAGGTGAACAGGGTGGCCAAGCGATTGTTCCACCGCGTCCAATCCACATCGGGTAATTTTCATTTAAATGGCTTCGTACATTCGTAGCGAAGTGTGCCGGAGCTCCATCCAATTGTAAAGTCATCCTTCTCCTATAGGCCAGTGGTATTTCTATCAATGCGTCCAGGAAGTCAGTTTCCAAGAACTGGAGAAATCTAAGGCCATTCATCACGGCTGGCAAAATGAGTGGGCCAATCAAAATATTGCCGATCATTCCTGCCCACACATTTACCGAGAATTGGTGTTGGAACGTGCTTTCTCTCACAGCATAAGGATTTTCATGAAGCCAAAGATGTTCATTGCGATGGTTTACATATCCCGATCGTGTGAAAGTAGCCTCATCGGTCCACAATATTTTTTTCAAAAAATTTGGCTCCGATCTCGTCATTCTGAGTATCCATGAGCAAAAAACGGCCCTTCCTCCGTAATCTGGTTCAATTATCTCTTGCACCCGTTTAAAATGGTACGGGTGCAATCCTTCCCTTTTAAAGACTCGCCACACTGTCCATTTAGATAAACCGAGTCTAATTGCAATACGTCTGACACTTAGTTTAGGATCTTCTGTGATCAATCGCAATATCTCTTCTTCCTCACTCGGTGATATTATACGAAAACGTTCGTTGGCGGGTTGCCTTATTCTATTTTCAGCAAGGCGCAAATGAATTCTTATGAATGTGCGAGCGTTTGGTGTTGGTCTATTTGGGAATCTTCTCGCATACTCTCTAACAGCTCTGTTAGCATTCCCATCGCACAATTCATAGACGTAATGGATGTCGGCAACGTCGTGGTTTGAATAATGGCCATTTTCCATTGCAGTTAACTTTCGTTAGCTAAAGTAACACAACTTAGTCCAATAACAAAACAAAAAGTTCAACAACAATAACAAAAGTCTAGCAACAATAACAAAAAAGTAACGAACAGTTTAACGATAACAAGCACAGTATGGCACAAGAGAATGTAATCGCAACGCAAAGCGAGGGACGACTGACTGATTGCGTTTGCGTTGCGGTCTCAAGGCCCCCAAATCATTTTTTACCTGGCAGTTCTATGAACGGCATTCCAAGACGGGATTGTCAAAAGACCCGTTCCTTGGAATTTCTCGAATTCCTTATCTATTGTAAATATGCGGTTTTAAGGATTTATTCAAACCGTCATAGCTTGTAAACTACTTTATTTAGAGCCAAGATGTAAGCTGTTTTATTTAGGGAACATAATTCTCTATCATTTAGAAATAAAAAAAAAAGTAGGTCAACAGCTTTGATTCTATGAAAAAGCTAATATTGTTAAAAAAAACGCAAAATAATACATAATTATAATCGTTTAATAATTTTTTCTCGATTTTTTATAATAAAGTTTGGACAGTATTTTGCATTACTTTATTGTCTACATGTTTGGCTATCGAATGAGACCTATTTTGTGTTTCTAGGACCTTTACATAGGTAGCTATAGCTAAATTAGTCTAATACTACATCTACAATATTAAAAAAAACAAAATGGCTGCCATTTTATTATGGTTGAAGTAAAGCTACTTATAGGGCTTGATTTATCGATAAAACATACTGCATTTCAACCCCCTAACGGCTCCGACACCGTTGACCAGACAGATTGTATAAATGGATAGTATAATATAAAACACCTGAAAGACATAATTATAAAGTAATTAATGATAAAACACACACAAAAATCCTACTTGATAATAATCCCTTATCATAATTTATCTGCAATAATATACCGCTGTAGGGTTTGCCTATCAATTTCAAGGATACTTCAAATTTTGTCATCCATCATTCATACATACTATTTTGAATTACTGTAAATCGTTGTATTTTCAAGATTATATTATTTACTAAGAACGTATCGGATATTACTTTCATATCTACGTCAGAAAAATATAAAAATTCATAAAACTACGTTCCCTAATAGCACTTACTTGTGGTCCAAAGCAGAAGCCCTGAACCCAAACCTGTTAAACCACTCAGCTCTGTTTATGCTCAAACTCGTATCGCCAGCTCTTCTTTCAGCGCTTCGCTCTTGTTCTGCTTCCACTTGAACACACACTGACCGACTACCAGAGTTCCGCCTCCGTTGATGTCACTCGCCGAAAAAGATCTCGAATCTCATGCCTACTTCCTTTTATACACCCATCCTTTCTAGAACCTTCCACACACACACTAGCGAGTTCATTCGCTTTAGTTTAGGTACCCATCCCCTCAAACAGTCAAATCCATTACTAAATATTCTGATATTCTAGTATATTATTCTAATAAAATGATAAATCACTAATAGAATGTGGTGAGGCGGCGTGTAAATAGCCGAGACCTCACGTGGGATCTTAATCGTATGTTATTAATAATTGTTAAAGAGAAAAAAAGCGAAAGAAAAGAAATATAGAAAGAGATTATCCTTAGAGCGCACCCGATGGAACTCTGATATAAAATCGAGAGTACTGAACTGATGTACGCCACTTGGACACGAACGCCAATACCGCTCCGTCCACTATCCTTCTGGTGTTCAGTCTGGGTATACTTATTATGACGAAATATTTATATTATTTATGCGGCTGGTAGCTATTATTTAAGCGTTGTTGTGAAAAGACAAAAGGCGAATGACAGAAGAAATTTTCTTCTTTTTATGCCGTCGTGGCGTCTATGCGGCCAGCGGTGAGGTTGCGTACGTAATGCAACCTCCTTCATAGTTCGTAGCGTCCGCGGCGGCGACGCAGAACAGCAGACCCCCGAAAGTTCACCAGATATTCCTTTAATGGTGCACTCATAGGGAAATCGAAATATAATTTAGAAAAAAGTTAAATAAGAAAAGTAAAGCAATGAAGCGGCGTCAACAGAATGTACATATTAAATGTTTCGATATATTCAATAATCCTTTATCGTAGTGTCGTCGTCAAATAATCTTCCTAACAAAATTTTATATTTTAATCATAACTCGTTAACGCCCATATTCATGTCCTGGCAATCACATCCTTAGTATACCATTTAAATTCCCTTGGCAATAAAACTAAATGTTTTATTGAAAGTTTCCAAAATGTTTATCGAATTTCATTAATAGGTAAATAATTCATAATTTATTCTTAATTATTCCTTGCTCCTTTCTCTTTTAGTGCATTTATTAATCGCTTGGACATGATAACAAAAAAAAATGTGTTTACAGTGGAATAATTAATCTTTTTGCACCCAATTTGCAGTTATTAGCTTACTGCATGTTTTCAAAAACGATCAGAAACCTTTTAAGAAAATATAGCTATCAATAAATTTCATTACAAACTTTATTAATATTATTGAAATATGACTTCCGCTAACTAGCTAAATCTATTCGTTCGTGAAATGAGCGCCATCTACTGTCGAGTTGCTAAGCTACCTATATGAAGTTACTAGGATGTGAAACTACTACAATATACAGATAATACAATGAAATTTTGCATCTAGTCCGAGAGATGGCGAGACTATCACTTTTTTTATACAGTTGTTTCAAGAAATAAATACGGCGATATGATTACAATCATAAGTATTGTCATTATTTATTTGTCTTTTTCAGTGTTATTTATTATTTAAAGTAACGGTGATATATTTATTATATACGTTTATATTACGGTGTGTTCCGTCACAGACTCTAACATATACCTTTCGGCTTCGTATTGACTTTTGTTCCACCCGTTATATATAAAAGGATTCCTTGATAAATTAGCTCAATACTTATGTGCGATTGTGATAGTTTTTATGGGAATTTTAAGAACGTTGAGAAAAAATGATTCGTTCGCTTTGAGATAACAGTCGCTTCGACAGTCGAGTAAAAAAAACGAGAACAAGTCACGAAAGCAAGAGTAATTGTAAAAAAATGTGCTACAAAATTTTTTTTTTAAACATTTCGAACAAAGAAATACCGCTTTTTCGCAAAATAAATGAGTCATTCATTTGTAATTAGTCCATAAATGCATTATTTCAAGGTTTAATATCATAAAATATAAAATATGTTAAGAATTAAATAGGTAGTATAGCACACATGTCTTTGAAATTTAATAAAGAAGATAAAACAAAAGCCGCATGCAGCGGTCCTTTTCTATGATCCGCGCGCCCGCGCCACGGCTTTAACAATATAAACTAAACAATTTCGTATGCTCTGATATGCCGTCACACTTGGTTTTGCGACGGCGGCAGCTATTTCAAGAAGCGTCAGTGATTGAAAAATTTAAAAATTATTGAAATAGAATTACAATTTTGGGGCGCATTACCGAAGTCATCGTTGAGTAATTTGTGGCATTCTTCCACAAATCATGGTGAGGAGAGGCTCTCTGTACACTTCCTCTATAAATTTTGCCATTACGAATATTAAATGAATTACAATTAAAGGAACCAAAGAGATTGTCCGTTAGTTTCGTAAATTTTATCAAATTTCGGCATTCTTACGAGATGTCGTCTCTTGAAGACATGTTCAGCATCTACAGGAATGCTGTGACTGAAAACTTGAGCAGTAGTTTTAAATTTATTTACTTTTTATTTTATCTGCATAGATGTGCTCATCGGTGAGTTTTTACAGAAGTTTTAGTTCCCCGTACGATTTGTCTGCTTCATACACTTTCTTATAGAATTCCCACTTTAAGGATTTTTCACATTTCTCTTCAAAATCTAAGTATTTGAGATCTTTTGTGAGCAAATTGTTGCTCACACTCTTTAATGGATGTGGGACATCGAATAAAGCGATTATTTTTGATTTCCCTACTTCAAAAATGTCTGTGTTATATATTCCTTTTCTTCCTTCAACTGCTTATTTTTTGTATCTTTAGTTCTGTACTATGAACATAAGTAATAACTTTATGTGTAATCTCCTTCAAATACAACTTATTTAAAGTATTTGTAAAAGAGTATGCAGCTGTGAAAGAGTGGGCTGCTTGAATTTAATTTGTATTCCCATAACCATGAAGACGAGAATATGATCTGCTATCTTTTGCAGCATTATAATGAATTTGGGGGCTGTTAGACATTTCATCAGAAAATAAGCTGCATAAACGGTCTTCTACACACAAAATCTTGGCGGCTTCTTTTATAAAAAAATATATATATTTATTAAGACCCGACTCTACTTCTATTTGTGCTTAGAGCCTTTTTAGAAATTTGACGGATGAAAGAGTTAATTACTTAGCCAAAAGAGAGTAACTTCTTGGGCTCTTCTTATACAGGGTGGACCAAAAGACCGATGGAATGATGATGATAAAAAAAAGATGGTAAAAAAATTACAGTAGATTAAAATTGTTTAATTGTTTTCGATAGTAAACAAAAGGAGAATTGATCCCTTTAAAAATCACATCATTCATATACAATCCTTTATTATTCTGGCATTGCTGCAATCTAAAACGGAAATTTTCGATAACAGCTTTACATGTTTCTGTTGAGATGTTTTGGGTTTCTGTGCGAATGCGATCCTTTAATTCGTCAAGAGTTACTGGGTCTGTATCCTTAATTTTAGCTTTAAGATCCCTAAACCAAAAAATCCATTGAGGATAGCTACGATAAGGCCAGTTAATTTCCCCTCTTTTCTATATCAATTTTAGCTAATAATGTCTCGAGCTCCAACGAGTCATTACATGTATGACAAAACCATGAGCGTAGATCAAAACCAGTAAAATCCTGAGAAAAAAATGTTTGTAAAGCTGGTGAACCGCTCTACCATTTCGTTTGCCAACTGCAACCTAGTGGCATGGTCCTGAGGCCTTCATTCCTGCACCATTTGGGTTTTATAGGGATGTAGATGTAAGTCCTTAAAAATGTGGTTTAATGCTGTTCTTGGCACGTTAAGGACAACAGACCGCTTTCAAGTTAAAAGTCCAGGTTAGTCACGAACAGACGATTTTACTCGCTCCACGTTTTTGGGATCACTCGCACATTCTAGGCCGGCTAGATCGAAATAAATCCTTTGTTGAATTCGACTTCTTAAACTTGAGCACCCTTTTTTTAATAACAAAGGTTTGTTAGAATCCATCAGGTTGATGGAGCTTGATTTTTGTGTCGTATCTTGTAATGATCGCAAAACTTTCGTTGAGCTAAGGTCTCAGAATCGTTGTTTGGATAGTACTCGCGTACACAAAAAGCACGTTGACAACCGCTAAACGACGCCATGGTACTAAATTCTCATTGGCTGCTCTTGCAATGCGTAGCCCCTCTACCTCACCACCACCTCCATCCTCTGCTGCCGCTGCTAGACGCGGCAACCGATTCAAATG